ACAAAGTACGCCAGTCGTTTCTCTTCTGTGCCAACTGATGCTAATTGGAAATGCCAAGTGAAGCCAAGCCCTTCTCCACCTGAACTTTCCATAGCAGTGGGGGCGTCCCTCTCCCTCTGCTACCACCAGCGGGTTCCGAGTTCAATACTTTCAGAGCTGGAGCGTTGGTGTCCAGTCGAACGACATGACCTAGCCAGCGGAGCCACTGAATTTTAATTCGCTGCACTATTTCTATATCGTTGTAAAGCTCATACAGCTCATCATTCCATCGTCTGCGGTACTCGCCATCGCCAACGCATAAAGGCCCGTATATCTTCCGCACAATCTTTCTCTCGAATACTCCAAGAGCCGCCTCATCGGATGTTGTTATGGCCAGAAGAATGCTTCTGCGCCATATATCAGAACGGGCATGATGAGTCACTTAGAGCCCTTTTCTGAAGTAACCTGTAACTTTAAAGCTCACTTATATTTAAAGGTTGGATTAAAAATAAAGCTATGTCTAAAGTTAAGCATTTCTATTATCGGTTTTCGACGTATTTATGTTTCTTAGTTGTAAACCAATTTAAAACAGATAATAAAATGATTTTCTTTAGATATATTCATAAATTTTAATGCAACCTTTAAATATAAAGTGAGCTTAAAAGTTACACGTTTCTTGATAAAACGGCCCTTATAGTGTCGTTTTCGTCCTTCGAGAGAGGACTTTACTCCTGAATTGCCTTGTCAGTCCATAGTAACACTTGTTGACAAGAGTGATTCTGCGTTGGATTTCCATGCTGACATAATTATCGGTGTTAATGCTGGTTCCCAAGTAAACGAAATTCTCCACTTTCTCAAATTTATATCTGTCAACAGTGACATGGGTGCTAAGGCGCGAAAGTGGTGACTGTTTAGTGTGATGACAGGAGATACTTCGTTTTGTCCTCGTTTACCACCAGACCCATATGTTTCGCTTCCTTATCCAACTTGGAAAAGGTAGAAAAGCCTTCGTGGTTGTTGTTACCGATGATGTCGATGTCATCAGAATAAGCCAGCAATTGTACGCTCTTATAGTAAATCGCTCCTGAGCGGTTCAGTTCTACAGCTCTTATTATCTTTTCCAACATCAGATTAAAGAAGTCACTTGAAAGGGAGTCGCCCTGCCTGAAACCCCGTTTGGTGGCGAACGGCTCGGAGAGGTCTTTCCCAGTTCTGTCATTTTACACAGCTGTATCAGTTTGGCGAGGATGCCAAATTCAGACTTAGCGCCGTAGAGGCAACTCTTTTTAGTGCTGTCGAAAGCGGCTTTAAAGTCGACAAATGCCGTATGGTGAATAGCTGGTCTATGGTGGATTTGCCAGGTCGAAAGCCACACTGATAAGGCCCAATCAGTTCGTTGACGGTACGCTTCAGTCTTTCACACAATACACTCGATAAGACCTTGTAACTTAAGCTTACAAGGCTGACCCCGCGGTAGTTGGCGCGAATAGCGGGGTCGTCTTTCTTGTTGATTGGGCAGAGTACACTTAAATTCCAGTCGTCGGGCATGCGTTCATCTGACTATACTCTGCGTAAGTGTTGATGCATACACCTTATCAACACCTTGCCGCCGCACTTGAATAGCTCAGCTGGCAGGCTGTCGGCTCCAGCAGCTTTCTTGATTTTCAGTCGCGTTATTGCTATTCGTACCTCGTCATAGTCAGGCGGTGGAACATCGACTCCGTCATCATCGATCCCTTCCTTGCCCACCCTTGCACTGAAGTAGCCAAGCACGATTTTGATATCATGGCGGAGGCAGCGCCCGTACGTGGGCTCCAAGCGCATATAGAAGAGATCCTTGGATACGGCGACGGAGTCTCTCTCCTACCACAAATCAAAGACCGCATTTGCGCCCCTTTGTTTGGCAGCTGTAGTATATGTCGCAAGACCCCAGTCATTGCTTACCTTACCCAGTCCAACGCATTTCTTGGATGGCCGTGATGTCAGCTTTTGTCCTTACGAGGACATCAACCAGCCGGGCAGAGGCACCTTCCCCATTAAGGGTCCGGACTTTCCAGGTGCATGCCTTCAAATCGTAGTCCTTTATAGGTTTGCCGTGGTCGTCATAATACGGGGAGGGAGGTCTCATAACAGGGTTTGTTTTTGTTCTTCACTGGAAGGAGTTTTTACCTGGAGAGTCCCAAACCCAGCGCACAACCCACTGCTGTGACGGGGGTGGTTTCGCAACCGAATACACGTTTATATAGCGAGCCGCTTGCTCCAAGACAGACATGCGCTTGCAGCCACATCTACTGGTGAACTGACGCTGCAGACTTCAGTGAGCCCTTAAACCGAATAAGTCGGAGTGGCCCCACCGACGAAAGAGTCGGGATTGAGTATAGCCGTGCAACTGCAATTGCCTACCCAGCACAATGACTCCGTCTATTCAACACTTGACTGTCCATTGTAATTCTTCAATCCTTGAAATAAACTGAATAAAAAAGATAAAGTTAAACTGTATTCACATTTTTGTTGTTGTTTTTCGAGCATATTTGCCAATGTTTTAGTACTTAGGCACGCTTCTAATGCTTTCTTTTTGGTCGTTTTTTCAGCCCTGGCTATTTCATATTTCACCACATTTAAACTCTCTTCCGTTTTGCCGATGAGAGAGAATGTAGCGTGGGCGTATTCGGCCGCAAGCACTGAATCGTTTTTGCACAAGAAGTAAAATTTGATCTTTTTTTGACATGTAACGTATTGCAGTATCACCGAAGGTATACCTTTTATGTATTACAAATGAAGCTGAAGTAGGTGATTTAATAAATTGGTACTAAAAACTGGAAGAGGCTAAAATTTTTACTAAATTTAAAAATACAAGGAAGCTCATTAATTAAAACTCTGATCCCCAGCTTCACCAGCCGGTTTGGCACAAAGTGTCAAAATGGCACTTTTGAAAAATAGTAATATTTCAAAAAAATTTTGTGAAATCCTTTGCGTGTACTTCTTTTTATCATACAAAATCTTCTTATTTCTAAAGTTTATAAATAGACTACGGTTTTTTATGCAGAAAACGAAGCCTAAAAATATGTACCCCATAATTATAAAGAAAATGTATACAAATTTATTTACTTTGATTATAGTTAAGTGGCTCATATTTTTAGACTTTGTTTTCTGCATAAACATCTGCAGTCTATTTATAACACTGGTTTATTTTATTTTGGAATTGCATCTTTGTTTTAGAAATGTGTTTCTTTTTTCATGCCAAATGGAAAGGATTAAACAGAAAGGCACTTATATTTTTCTGTTTGGCACATTTTGGCACTTTTTTATCTTCAATATGGCGCCTCGTAGCTAAGGATGGTTGGTACCCCTGGTTCCACAGGTTTTAGCCCGAAGAAACTAGAATCTTTATAAGTTTTTCTAGAGAAAATTTGCCAACGTACCTAATTCGCCTAAGTAATTACTTGGCGAAACAAAACTTGATCGAAAAGTAGAAGCTGAACTTCTAATTTTAGATCATTTATTGCTTCAAAATATTTGGTTCTAATAACTATGAGATTCAAATTTCTCATGCCCGGAGTTATGTGTTTTGATGTCCGTAATTTTTGCATAGACCGCTCTAAAATTTGAAATACAGGTCCTAATTTTCGAAAACAAAGATTCAATGTCAAAATAAGAAAAACCAGTTTTATAAACATTAGAAATTAGAAGATTTTCTCTGAGAAAAAGAAGTTCACGCAGAGGATTTCACAAAAATTTATTGAAATATTACTATTTTTCAAAAGTGCCATTTTGACACTTTGTGCCAAATTGAAAAATTAATTGTTATTTGAAGTAAAATAGGACCAAAAATGGCACGGTTTGAGCCAAGTTGGCAGGCCTGTGTGGAACTGTCAAACTACAATTTTACTCTCTCTGTTGAGAGTAACAGGAGAACAGATGCAGAAGTGTACAGGAACGCAAAAACTTACATGAAGAAAAGGTCAAAGGATTTTTGTTTGTTGTTATTGTACGGTTATAGCAATTACTCGAAATGAAAAGTTTGCATATAAAAATATTTTCATACGTCTTCAAATACATATATTGCTGTTTGATTCTATTTTATAAAATATACACTTTTAAATAGTTCTAAAATTAAATGGTTTTTAATCACGGTTTTATTTCAAATTATTCAAATGTGCTTTAAAGTTGTTTTTTTTTTGTCCAGTACAGGAACAGTTATGTTAATACATTCTTTTATTCAGTTAGTTTATTCATACGATAGTACCGTTTGAACTATTCGCTTTAAAATTTTCATTTAATTGCGATATTTTTCTTCTTTATTGTAACATGTATTACTTTATTTGTGTAATTTTATTTTAATGCACTTTCTTCACTACATTTATGCTTTACATAAATATTAAATGACATCATTTTTTATGTGTATTTCAATTGCATTTTAGCTTTCATAAAATTTTTAACAAATGCGGATACTTGAATGCTTTTCTAAACAAGAAGAAATGTAAACGTGCCTGTCGTTTTACACTTTTTCATACATTTGCCAGAAGAAAAACCTCGTACTTTCTGTTTTTTATGGTTTTATAATAATTGTTATTGTTATGTAAGCCTTTTATAAAATAAATACAAATAAAACCTCGGGCAAAATCTTTTAACTTCTGAGTGGGAAGAGTTGCCTACTTACTCCCTCAAAAGTATTTCTAGTGAGAGAATTGTTTGCGTAGTTGTACTGGAACAGACTTAAATATCAGTTACTCTAAACTTAACTTACTTAACACTTCAACTTATCCAGAAGCGAAAAAATGTTTTTGATTTTCCATTTCAGCGATTGTCAGCCGCCTATAAGGCTCATCAAAAACTTCCTGCATTGGCCAATTTACTAGATAACGTAACTTAAAGTAAGGCAAGACTAACTGCGCCTTAAATAATAAAAGTGTCAACAGCTTAAGCTACGTGGAAATAATTAAACATCTGTGTACATAAAATTTATGTCTATAACGCTATTCCCACGTGAGTATGACACACAGTTTGATAATTGTATTTACCTTTGAGCCAACGTTTTCTTTTTGCAGCTCTGAAAACTTTTGCTTCAAAATCATATTTCTCTTGCATTAAGATTTCATGAAGAGTGGGTTTTTCCGATAGCACAATGGATGTGGAATTTGGATTACTTTCCTGTAAATAATAAAATAACCAAAAAATTAGATGTAACTTATTTTTAGAAAAGTTGCAAATACGTGATATGAAATATTTATAAAAAACTAGATCGCTCTCACCCGATTCGCTGAGTGTATGAAATTTCTACGCGCTACATTAGGTATAATTTATTTGAATTAAACTCAACATATTTAAAATATACGAAAATCAGGAGACTTTAAATTTTTTAAATATCTCCAATATATTTTCAAACTAAAACTATCTTTAACCTCTCTCTTGTGATAATTTTTCATACTTATGTACATGTAGTTTAGAAATGAAGCCATTTCAAAATCATTTCGATTGATACCCATATTGTAATAATTCATAGAAATGATTGAAAATTCCGAATTTTACTTTTTAAACCGTTAATTCTCATAGTTCAAGTTTAATTTGAATTTTGAAACCAGGGTTCGGAAATTATAATTTATGATTATTCGTTTTCATTTATTTATGAGATTTACCATGATCGATAATATTTCATATCTATTTTTGCATTCTTTATCGCGAGTGAAAAAGGCAAAAAAAAATTATCATCTCTCACATTCGGAATGCGATCGACAAAAAAATGTCCGCTGCTTTTCATTCGCGATCGAGAAAAGCTAAGAAATTTCCTCTCATGCGAATATGAGAAGTCCGAGCATAGCCGGTGTCTGCCTCACATAAATGAGAAAAACAATGCAGGTACCAGTGTTGCCGCGGTGTTCAGAAGAAATGTATCACCAAAATTCCCTAAAATGGATTAAAAGTATAATGAAAAAAAAAATGTTTAGTATCAATCTTCAATAAAATGCAGAGTGAATTCATTTGCATACTTAACTAAAATCACATATCAAATTGGTGCTTAACACCGTTTCCGAGTAAAGCCAACTTGTGGGGAATTCCCCCGATTTGCGGGGAATTTGAGTTTGCGTGGAGAATCGGGGAATGTACCGTTTTTAGTGGGGAGTTTACGTACATAATCGGGAGATGAACTGCTTTTTATGAGGTATTAGGTCTTAACTAATTTATTTTTTTGCTTTACTGATTTTATAATGAGGTAAAAAAGTCGCATAAGATGTGCAACTGCAACTAAAAGTACAAATTACCGTTGATATAGAATTTTCTTTGTCGCATTTGCGTTCATATAACGAATAAACACACTTTTTTTATGTGGAAGAAAACCGCAACACTTTCGGAAAAAAAATAAAATAAAACGAAATTTTTTAGCCACTTGAAATTTGCACTTAGTAGAATTGAGTGGGCTACAAAACTGCATACTCAAAATCTTTCTAGAAAATCTAATTAAAAAGCTCGAATTTTTTACGAAAGTTTGTAGAATTTTTTTTTTTTATTACACAAAGTTTGAAACTTGGTTTTATACGGTTTTTGTTAAAGAATTAACTATATTTTTTTAACAAAAATAAATCAAATTAATAACAAAAAAAAAAATAATAATTGTGTACACTTGTCAAAACTTGGCGCGACTAAAACTTTTCCGACCACTGTACGTATGTAAACATTATATGTAAATTTTTTTCTTTATTTGTTAACTAACTTTATAAAAGTTTGGTTTGGTCTATGAATACATACAGAGCTGAATTACATTAAAAACCAAACAGGCCAGCAATATGTCAAAATACACACAATTTTGTTTTGGTTTGTTAATAAGGAGATATCTATGAGTGGGCAATTTTATGAAGTTTCCTGCAAAATCGGGGAATTTCATTGGGGAATTCTCAAAAATGAGTTGGCTAGCCTGCTGTAAACACTTAAAAGTAATTTTCACAATACTTGATTAATCGGGATGAAATGCTTAAGGCAGTGTCACACGATTGTTACATTTATACAGATTTGTACATTTTGGCGGTTTCAGAGTAGTCTTGTTTGGATATCGTTTTATTGAGCTGAACCCAAATTCCTAAAGAACACCACTCTGTGACTGCCAAAATATACAAATCTGTACGAATGTACCAATCGTGTGACACTGCCTTTAGCCCAGTACCACATCCGACAACTTCAAAAGCACTCCAGGATTTAGTGAGAAATTGTTCGCAAAATATATGATAAATATGTGAAAGGAAACGGATTCGGACTATTTCGGACTAAATCCTGGAGTACGGGAACAGGCTGGTTGTCTGTAGCTAACAGTGATGCCATATGCATATTGAAGGTGGTATGTTCAGTAAAAGAAAACAAACTTGATATGTCGCCAGAAAATCATAAAATTCTTAAGATGGGAAAAGTTACCCTCAACTTGTTTGTGAATTAAAATGTATCACAATTTATACTAAGCTAAAAAAGGTATCTTTTAAGAATTCGGGGGAAAATGTATCATTTTGATCCATTTGGATCAAACGGCAACACTGCAGGTAATCCATTCGCGATCACTCACAACAGCTTATCGCGAAAAATTTTCAACGAAGTTGTATGGGAAATATTTTTCGCGTTGGTTTTGGTTATGCATACAGCATTCGTACATATGTATGTATATGTAAGGAATGCAAGCAAATGCTTTTCGTTGGAAGGAATATAGGAATATGCACAAATATATGAATTATGGTGGTAATATATATGTATGTGTGTTCCTATAGATTACATTCATGCATACGCGTAGTTAAAGTATACATATTTCAGGCGTACACTTTTCAGTATAATGGTGTATCTGCATGTTATTTTATTATAATGATTGCGTTATTTGATATATCTAATAAATGGAACTTCGTGGGTATAATATTGACAGGGCTGCAAAAAATTGCAATCAAATTGGATTGCAATCGCATATTTTACGAAATATTGCATTCTGGTTTAATTGCAATTAACATTGATTGCTTATATTTTGATTGCAAAAATTGAATTGAATCATTTAGAAGAAATTGATTCCAATAAGTTTTTGATTGCAATTAATTTTTGATTGCAATCATTAATTGCATAAAAATTGCTAACTGCAATCTGTCTAAACGACATTTATTTTGATGAATAAATGGAAGTACGATTGTGAGGCACACAAGCCCTCAGTGGGTTAACGCATCACATTAGCAGCGCAAAATGAACCCGCTCGCGGCATTACACCTAGCAGTAGGTTGTTTTGATTGTCGTCTTTAATGTTCCGCTAATCGAGAGCGTATTCAATGTGCTTGCATAAAAATTCGATTTTATGCATGACAAAGCTGCAACTAAACAGCACCTCTATCGTGTTTTTCAACCATCCCCAGTAGTATAACGTATCGATGGCTGAGTGGAAGATCGACATATCTCGGCAGCCAGTTCGAAAACGCCCTATCTCAGGAAATTTTTCAATAACGCTCTACTTCAGAATTTGATTTAAGAACGCCCTATCTCAGAATTCGGTTCAGAAACGCCCTATCGCAACTGCCGATGCAAAAATGCACATTTCTCATCATCTCCCTTTTGTGCGGCCGTGTTTTTGCTCAGTTTGGCCCTTATGTATTGTTGTTGCGCACTGCAAGTGCATTTACTTGGAACATTAGTTAGGCGGTCATATATTCGTACAAAAAGCTTTGGTTCGCACATTTAATATTTGGTCTTGTAAATTGTAAATATTGTAAGGTATTATGTAATTCAGAAGTTATCATATTTGTCTTATAAGCTAAAATTTTACACCAGTCTTAAATATTTTTTGGCGTTTTTTGAATAAAATGTTTTTCTTCAAGCAGCAACAACTTTCTGTCTACTGTTGTCAAACTTAAACTTATAAGACAAATCTGCTAAATATTTTTCTTTCAACACAAGATTTGGTAACTAAACTTAATCATGTAACGATAACCAAATCATGTTAGGAGAGAAACATACTGAACTCTTTTAAATTACTAAAACAACATGCATGCAATATGAAGTGCTCACAACTCGTTGTTTATATTAGGTGTGTATAGTAACAAATAGTCAGTACTGGAACCTGCAAATTTTTACTGGAAAAGTGTATAATAACCCAAAAAAATTCCAATAGAGCACTGAATCGAGAGCGTAATAACACGGGAGAAGTGCAATTCTTGCTAGTTAAATTTTCACCTCATAAATTAGCTAGCGGAAGTAGAAGAATAAATATCAAAAGCCGCCATTTGTTGAAATAGTTAAGCATAAACAAAAGTAAAACGAGTGGAAATCAAAATATTAATGATTACTGGACTGTGTAAGTGCTTGCGTGTAAAGCAAAGAGTTTAAAACTGATTTATAAATAGTAAAATGTTTACAGCAGAATGTCAAAACGGTGTAACAACTACTCAACTGCCAATTTTTACTAGTTTTGTGTTCAATAACTTTTTCTGCTAGTTTTCTCTTTTTCTCAATTTCACGTGCTATTTGCTTTTACGCTCTCAATTTCTTTATTAAAAAAAAAAACATGAATAAATAATTGCATTTTTGAGATTGCAATTAAAATGTTTGAGTGAATCAGTGATTTGATTGCAATCAAAATCATTGCAATCAAATGTGCTTACAATTAAATTGATTGTAGTTGGGGTGAGATGTCTGATAAACAAACAATTTTCAGGTAAAAGTGTTGCAGTTTTTGAAATATTTACATTTTTTTGAATTAAAAAAAAATCGTGCCTTTTCATGTATTTTCTTTAACTGCATCTATAAGCCAGGCTATACTTAGTAAATTTTTTATGTAAAATACTTCCAGATAGTTGCCTCTCCATACTCAAATGCAATGTAGTTAAAATATATTAAGGAACCATCATAAAATTAGGACTATTTTGGGATTTTTAACTTTTTGATATTTTCTTCCCAACTTTGACTATCTCTGGTGAAAAAAATGTACTGAGCTATAACTTTACATTACATAAAAAAATTGCTAACTTAATAAAGATTTCAGAATACTGTTTCGAATAGAAAAAAAAGTTACAGCCGCTTTTGTGGGCAAAGGACTGAGACACGCTAGAATGTATTTAATAGATTTAAATTTAAGTTGCTCTTGTTACCGACCAATGACATGCTAAATAGTACAAAGGTACATTATTACCTGCTCCTGATATTAT